TGTTTGGTCCTGTATCAACAAAAATTAAACCCCACAATCCCGGGCCAATCAATTTTTAGTTTTAATTTTTAGACCAACTTGTGACGTCAATCTTGTCCTTTTGGGGATCTTTACCACGTTCGTGACAATGTTAGATTGATTCGATCCACCGAGCACATGTTTTGGTTCTTCGATTGATTCCATGTTGCACGACAAAAATAAGAATGTTGGAGCTCCTGGGTCCATAGTACAAAATGCAGAGGAATCCCATTTTTGCAGATGGACATGAAGGGTAGTATGGCCTGAAGTTAGCGATGTCTCCTCAAACTACGTCATGTCCTAACCCCAGTCATGTCTAATCCAAGATATTGCTGTCATGATGTCTTGGATGAACTTAGACACGAGAGTCCGGCTGTGGAGTGGTATAACTTAATATGGAGTAGCGGCGTTAGCAAACACAATTTTATTGGTTGGTTAGTATGTAGAGATAGGCTTCCGACAGCAGAGATTATATCACGGTGGATGACCTCAGTCGATGTCCAATGTACCTTCTGTAGGGCAAGTATAGAGAACAGAACTCACCTTTTCTTCCAATGCGAATGGACAGGTAGCATATGGCGCAATATTCTTGCGCAACATGGGATCAGGCATAATGTATGGGGATGGAATGAGGAGCTTCAATGGATGGTTAGAGCAACAAGAGGCAAAGATTTGGCAGCGAAACTCCTCAAAGTATCTTTCCTAGCAACTGTATATTGCACTTGGATGGAGCGCAACCATAGGCGATTTCAAAACAATCCAACTGACATTCAGATTATTTTGGCGAAGGTGCAGAAAAATGTAAGAGGTAGAGCTTCGCTATACCAAAAAATCAAACCTTCGCAAGCTAACGTTGTTTTAGCTACTTTATGGAGACTTCCTACCTCCATATTCTCGAATTATTAGTACTAGTTGTAATGCCGGGGAATGCCCCTAAGCTGCTGTACATCATCTGTTATATACTACTTACATTTTTGCACCAAAAAAAAAAAAAGAATGTTGTGACCCAACGCAGTGAAGCACATGCATGATTTGTTAGGCCGTGTCCAATGGAATGCGTGTCCACGCTTAGTCCCCCCCCCCCCCCCCTACAACTTCATATTTTTAAGGTTAATACCACGAAAAACTCTAAATTGGGACACATGTGATAAATTTACGCCGAACTAATTTTTTGACCACCTAAAATTCCAAACCGGTACACGTGTAACAAATTACCTCAAACTTATTTTTTCACTATCAAAAACCAAAAACCGGTATACTTGTGATAAATTTACCATCCGTTAAATTAGATTAATACCATGAAAAATCGTAAATTGATAAACATATGACAAACAAAGGGGTAAAACCTCAAACTAGTACACCTTTCAACTACTACGTGTCATCAAACTCAGTAATTTGACGGTAAAATCTAATTAAAACTAACGGATGTTAAATTTATCACAAGTGTACCGGTCTGGAGTTTTTGATAATCAAAAAATTAGTTTTAGATAAATTTATCATAAATGCATCAGTTTAAGATTTTTTTGTGGTATTAACCATTTTTTACCTAATTTCACATATTATGGATTCCTAGAACATCTGTCCCCACTCCCCCGAAAGTTACAAATTAATCGTATTCGATAGTACTTGTGATGAGAAAGTTTTTGCGAGTCTATTTTATTCGTACCATTTGTCTGTACCTTTAGAAACACCGACCACCCTAATTTCGTGGGCGTAGTTTTTTTTTTTTTTTTAAGATGATTGTGAGGGGAATCCTTGTCGTCCTTGCTCTGGTTGCGCTGAGTAAACCGTTCGGAAGAGTGCAGTAAAATTCCCTCCAACTGCATCCGGTAAGTCTGAAGCGCACACGTAAGGATGGATTCGTATTCGACATCAAAAGGTGAGGTCCATAAAGCACTAGATTCCCATGGAGGAAACAAGCAAACCCAGTTTGCTTGAGGGAGGAGTAATGCCACATATGTTTTCCTTTTGAGGACCGGAATGATGCGAAAAAAGCTAAACTCATTGTTTGCTTGATCTATAATGGACATTCATACAATTATTTACGGCGAATTAGCGATGGGTCTCATGAATTTCTATGTGGTACACAACGTGTCTAATCTAACTTTCACTCAACTAGCTTTCGGACAACCTTTGTGGCTATCCGCGTTTCCCTCAAACTTATGCTTGAAGAATTTTCCAAAACTCATCTTTTAATAGTGCTCTTTATACAAATAGCGATCTTTTTTTTATTTATAGAGTTCTTTGCTCTCTTTTTTCTTCCAACATATCATGGAGTTCTGTCAATAATACGAGAAGGTCGCGAGTAATTTACCTAAACCGTCACTAAACAATCTGTCTATACTATACACAGAGGGTGAATCCACATTTGATGTCCCCATTGATGTTTAACCTAAATCTGAGAGCTAAATTTGTCCTATGACATTCACCTTAACCACCACCTAATTCGATAATGTCCTCTCCTCCTAAAGAAATTACGCAAATTTCCATCATCTAAATCTCAAGGACGATTGAAGATCAAACTACTCTCTTAAGTAAACAATGAAGCCCTCTTCTTGCTTGCTTAATCTCTCCCTACGATATTTATGCGGGCTCGACTACAGAAGAATGTCCGAATCTTCCTCTTCAAACCCCTCGTTCCGCTGGACTTACAAACCAAGCAAGACATGAGCTGAAACTCGAGATGTACCGTCCGAACATGGATTAGTTCGCGCAACCGCGAGGTGGGTGCGAACCAAAAACGCGTGCTTACACGAATCTTTTAATCGACTTTCCATCGCAAGCGAGGAATCTCAAATAAAATCGCGACATAGTTTAATGAACCGCAAATACACACTCGTCCGTGCAGGTTTCACGCTGCCACCAGCCTATACACTAAATACTGCAACCGTTCTTCTGACAAGCGCGGTCGGTGAGGGAGGGAGGCCCAGTGAGGTGAGGGGAACATGCCGATCCATCATCACTTCGGATCCTGAATTGTCTCCGGAGTTGACGCGCGGTCGGATCATCATCGTGTCGACCATGGCCTCTCCGACCTTCGATTATTGCCGTGCGACTGTCTGACACCCCACCCAGTACCCACTTGCTTCCTCCTTTATAATATTAGCTAATGTCGTCGCATCTTTCGGATGATCAACCTCGTAATGATCTCTCGTCGAAGCCATCCTGCACCTTCGCACTCTAAATCTTAAATTTTATCCAAGCAGTGCTGTTTGGAGTTTGCTGTAGCCTCCGACAACTGAGAGAACCCAAAACTAGACCGCATACGGGTCGGTCGGATCGGATGGGGTCGAAAATGATCCGACCCATTTCCGTGCAATACAGATGTAGTGATTCATGCTCGATCCGACTCAACCAATTTCCAATTTGACCCATATTTTTAAAACACTAGCTTCCATAATAAAACAAAATCTATGAAAACTTACACATAAACTGAGGTCAGAGACCGGAGAGAGCGAGCGTAAGATTGAGTAAGGACAAAAGAGAGTCGCAGAGAGCATGAGATTTACTGAATATATTTACTCATATAACCACTCACAAATATGGGTAAGAAAGATTTTGATAGTTCTACCCAAAATCGGCCAATGTCAAAGCAAAGCACAGTACAGTCGCCCTCCTCCGTGAACCTCCACATGGCAGCCTCGGCATGGCGACGCGTGGCGCCACCACCACATGGACGACGGCTAACGAGGCTTCTCTCTTATTACGTGTCATGTCATTCATCGTTGAATTTCTCCCACGTTCGCTTTAATTTGAATCCGCCTTAAACCTCCGCGCTCGCCCTTTTTCCCTTAGATTCCTCCTATGCAATGGCCAAATGGTCACATGCCTCCCAGTAATGACATAGTTAGCGAAATCGGACACTGGTTTACTTACCATATGCAAAACGAAGTCGTTACAGAGCATCTGAAAATTTGAGCCGAAGAAGAAGCCGACAACTCACAATGGCACGTACGAAAAAATTGACATGTTTACTATGGGTAGCTACTGTCTTGATGAAGATGATAGCTCGGCTGGATACAGCCATTGCCCTAAATTGGTTTCTCTTCGTGTGGTCAGGACCCGAAATGTTGGGCGTTTGCAATTGGAATTGCAAGCGCAAGTGGACCGCCACGAGGAAAAAGAAAAAGAAAAAGTTTGGTTTCGATTTGATATTTCCGACGGAAAGGCTCGATCTAGGGAATACCTCTTCGGAAGCGGTCTGCAGTTTCGGTGCACGGCGGTCGATAAAAAAAACGACGCGACATCGGATGCAAAGAGACTCGACATTGTATGTCCGGGGTTTGAAGCCGGTTAGGTAATTCGCATCCACTTAACAAGTATTTCATGACGCGATCGATGTATGCAACCGACCGAATCACGCCGCCCTATCTTACATGCTTTGTCATCTTACGCATAAAAAGCCAACAAATTCAAGCGTCGATGGAAAATTCGTCAAATCATTAAAATTCGGGAAAAAAGTCACAAAAAAACTCCAAAGCTATACTCATCGCAACACATCTATATCACACTTTTTGTCCCGTGACACCAAAAACCCTCGAATTTGTATCCGTGTAACATATTTACCTCAAACTTTTGTTGTGACACGAAAATCTTCAGACCTGTGTTTATACGACACATTTATTTTTAAACTTTTTTATCGACATTAAAATTCCCAAACTTAGACGCGCGCCACACGTTTAGCTCCCGTGATACCTCCTCCTCCTTCGCTTTTCCTACCTCCTCCGTCTTCACTACCGCCCTCGCCGCCATCCTCATCCTCACCAAACAAAACTAAGGAAAAAAAACAGCCAAAGAGGAAGTAAGGAAAAAATTAAAGACGTACAAGCGAGCGCCACGTCAGCACCGTTTGCTAGCCCCCGCCATGCATGTCGCTTTCTCTCTCCTCGTATTTATACGCTTTCTCTCTCTCCCTCGCTCACTACTCCCAACGCACACGCTCCCTCTCTTTAAATTTTCTCTCCCTCTCACTTGCTCTCTCTCTCTCCCTCTCTCTCTGTGTAAAAACGAACTCTTGATTCGATCCTTTGTCTCAACGGAAATGGCGATCTTCCCCAACGGTTCGAGGGCCACCTGGGCGCCGTCCCTCAAGGCCCTGCTCGCTTCCACCCTCGTCATCTCCGCCGCCGTCCTCCTCAAGCTCTCCCTCCCGGCCATCGCCGGCCTCGTCCCTTCCCTCCACGCCCTCCTCCTCCCCTGGCTCCGCCCTCCTTACCTCTACATCCTCGTCAACTGCATCATCATCTCCATCGTCGCTTCCTCCCGGCTCCACCGCCGCGGGGCGGACGACGGCGGCGGCGATGGCGATGGCGATGGCCGCCTGGCGCCGGGGGTCGCCGCGGCCGTGTACGCGGCTACCCCGGCCGAAGCGGCGGTCCGCGCTCCGGCGGAGGACCTGAAGGCGCCGGAGGTCGCGAGGGTGGGGTACGGCGGCTACGGCGACGGTTACGGTGGGAGGTTGGTGGAGGTGGTGGGGGGTGGCGCGTACGGCGCTGGGGCTTTGGAGGAGGCGGAAGCGGATGAGGAGGTCGTGGTGGCCGTGGACGGCGGTGACGAGCCGGTGGTTCCGGAGCCGGCGAGTCCGCTGCGGAGGAACGATTCTTCGGACTTCTCGTTCTTGAGTCCGAACGAGGATCGGAGAGAAAAACCGCCCGTTTCGACGAGGTTCGGTCATCGGAAGCCGGCCAAATCAAGTCCCGAAGGTAACTCTCTCTCGCTCTCTCTTACGCACTCAACGCCTGTTCTATTCCACGTCTAATCTCGAAACTCCATGAACGGCGGCGAACGGCGATTTTCTCGTGTTTCGATGCAGTTGGGAGGCAGTTGCGGGTCTCGAGGCCGAAGCGGAACGACACGCTGGAGAGTACGTGGAGGACGATCACCGACGGTCGCGCGATGCCGCTGGCGAGGCACCTGAGGAAGTCCGACACCTGGGACTCCCACGGCCGGCGGAACGACGAGAACAGCCCCCCGCCGCCGCCCCCGAAGATGAAGAAGTCGGAGACCTTCGCCACCCGCCCCGGCCCCACCAACCGGCCGGCGAGCCCGTCGCCGGGCTCGGGGAGGCTGAGGAGGGACCCGTCGCTGGGCCAGGACGACCTGAACCGCCGCGTCGAGGCCTTCATCCGGAAGTTCAACGAGCAGATGAGGCTGCAGCGGCAGGAGTCCCTGAACCAGTTACAGGAAATGATCAATCGTGGGGCCGGCTAAATCTACGATTCTTGGTGAAGCCGGACCCATTTTCCTTTCTGGGAAAAAATTTAGTGGGGGTAGAGAAAATGAATAGAGAATTGGAGTTGGGAGGCATGAGTTTCTGTCTGTGAAAAGTTACCAAGTTCTTTTTTTCTAGTTGGGTATAATTATAGAAATGTTAAGAAAGCAAAAGAATGAAAAGGACGCTGGATTTTTTACTATCGTTCAGTCGTTTTCTTGGTCCACATCCGGTTTCTTTCTTTCTTTCTTTCTTCGACATTGGCTTGGCTATGGTCTGGTTTGGTGTTCTTAGCATGATGATTAGGACAACCTTTCGGTTGCACTGAGGAATGCAATTTGAGGCTTAGTGGCGGGTGGAGGAGGATTGGTGGGACTCGAGACACTCCATTGCCAGAAAAAAACACTAGTGGAACCGAAGGATTGGGCGGCTTCCCGTTCGTGGGAGGGTCGTGCAAAGTTTCCTGTTCTTCTTCAGTTGTCTCGTTCAATGCATTTCATTCTCAGTGACCCTTCTTAGATTAATACACGAATTTTTCTAAGTGGGGCACTCATTACTCTGGCGTCGTTCTTGCTACATTCTAATATTAATATTCCTGAAAATAGGATGTGTAATTTCGAAAGTAATTCTTTTTTTCTTTTGACAGTTCTGGATCCTAGGTTTGTGTTTTCACTCTGGTTTTGCCCTGTAAAAATCTGCTGTCTCCCGACCGGGAACAAGTTCTGTCTCTGGGGACTAAACGGCGATTATAAGTCGGGGGTGGCCGGGAGTCACTTCGCCCGGTGTTTACCGAAATGCATGCATGAGATGGGAGCCTGAGCAGAGTTGTTCTGGAAGCATGAGCGATGTCTGGACTCCTCGTGCTAACGAATGGTTGTTTGTTTTTTCAATCTTTTGGATTCACGTCGAAGCGGTTCATTTTTGGAGCTACGAGCCTTGGCCACCGCCGACTAGGACGGAGGCTATCCACTTGGGTTTGAGCTTATCCAATATCCATCGAGCCAGCCGCCTTCTTGTCTGTTCATCGGCGATTCGTGCGAGATTTGGGCAAAGGGACGGTGGTGGGCTGAATGATGACAGAAGAAGCAATCATTTGATTCATATCAAGCCGTTGCATGAAGTGGGGGGAGGATCTCCGAAAATCTTGAATTTCCCTCCTCCCTTTCACGATGAATTTTTATAAATTCTCTCAACTTTTCACTCGAATTTTCATTCGATCCACCATCTCTCGTTTTCCAAATGCCAGTCTTATTTACCACCGTCCATGGGTTGAATTGCATCTTTCGTGCCGTTTTCATTTAGTTTTCAATCCCATTTAGTTCTTACCAAGTCAGGTCGATTGAATAACCACCGGGGTTTTTTCCGGTGACCACCCTTTCTACTTGGGAAGGGGGAAGTGGGAAGTTCGAATCCTCACCTTTTCAGAGGGAGTTAGGGGTGGGGACGTGTAGTTTCAGATATGGGTTTCGACTCCCACACCCTGCACGAGGCAAGGCAAAAGTCTAAGAGTGAGTTGAGAGTTAGAGTAGAACAAAGAAAAAAAAAACTGTCGATTGAAAAGCAAATTCGGTTCCTACATTTCAGAACCTTCAAGATAATTGTACTAAACAAGAATAGGGCTGATCACCGTTACATCTTCGCTAGGATGCCCGTTGTTCTCATCATTCCTAGTCCTACAGAGATCAGGAATTCATTTTCGTGAGTCACTGCATTGCTACTCTCTGTGCTTCTGTGAATTTTCTAACAAAGATAGCGATGCGTTGACTGTGGCGCAGAGCTACACTGTGGTGTTACCTTAATTCACCATTTCAATGGCTCATATATCTCACTACAACAAACTGACTGCCGTGCAAGCAAGCAAAGAAGAATATCAAATCAAATGCTACTTGGCGAGTTTTGACCGAGTATTCAATGGAAGAGCTTCATTCAAAGTGAATGATTCATAGCGAAATCAAAGTCAATGTAACTTAATCTCATTATTTCAAGACGGACTATACGTGAAAGTATGGACAAAATTAAACGACTGTGAAAGATCATCTAAAAGTTCACATGTAAAGATTCCTGAGGTTCACATACAATAACTCGAAAAATGATATCTGAGTTAGTCACTTAATCAATATAGGGTGAATTATGCTATGAGTCCCATTCGTAAGAAAACGCGATGAAGGGTTGTTGGACCCTTTAATTTGTGCAAAGCAATGTCAAACATCAAATGATATGTTCCTCCTCTGTGAAGACCACATTGCAACTTCTCCAAATCCGGATTAGAAATAGCTGCAAATGTTACCTGACAAGCTGTCTAATGTAACGGGGACACAGCATCAATAAAAACATATTGGAGGATGCTTTTCAGAAGTCTTCTGCAGTTCCTTTCCGGTTTCGCCGGCCAGACATTGATCATACAAAGGAAATCTTTCGGGGGACTTGAATTCTGCTCCGTGATAGGAATTCTGAGAGATCATTACTCCGTAATCAGTTGGAGGAGATGATTCATTATATGGGGCACTGGAAATAACATTTTGAAAGCCCGTTTCACCAGGTGTGGCATGGAGCACCGCTCGAGCATGTGTTGCACTTACATACACCTCATACGGAATTTCTGCAACCAAGATATTATGCTATATGATTAGTACTCCTCAAGCATATTCGTTTTAAATCTTGACCAACTCCTTATGCTGCAACAAATAGGACGGCCCCACAATATTTACTGAATTAGTTGACTAACAGAGACAAGTGAAGAAAGGATGCTTAACAACCTTTCAGATTCTGCTTTTATGGCATATGCACGCGTAGATCAAGTCCAAGCACTGGAATGGATCTAGGCTGTTGGGATTCTTCTTGGTTTCTTATGCAATTATTGTTCAATAAAAGGATTTTGAAGAATCAATAGGAAATATTTCCTTCCTCTTAACTCTCTTTCTTGCTTTTCTCATAAATGCACAGAATAAAACTCTTAGGCATACTCTTTGCAAAGAACATTTGCTATTGAAACATTAAATAGAGATTGCTTGCGACTATATAGCATAAAGAGCTATAGCTTGTGAAATATGCATTAAATATACTCAAGTTTTAAAGGCTTGGTTTAGGGTCGAGAAATATTACCAGCAGCCACTTCAACAGAACCATCAGACAGTCCAACCGCTTGGGATTCATCCAATTTCTGCTGAGCCTCGGGGATATCCTGCAACAAGGATTAATTAGAAGAACATCTTTATCAGTAAATGAAGCCACAACAGCATATAATGTAAAAAGTGGTTGGAGCAGTAGCATTTTTTTTTCTAGTTATGAACTAGCAGGTCAGCCTTGCTGTGAATTTCTCAGATGTGTAGAAGCATTTACAACTCTTAATGCTTAGGAAGCACCAAAAGGTTAGTACTAGCATGACTTGTTTCCGGTTTAACTCAGTAAGTCATCTAAGTGCTACAAATCTTCCCAACTCGAAATGGCCAAGACAGTCGTTGCTTCTTGCATGGTGCATGTGACTATGATTTTTTTCCACAGTAATAAGAATTGTCAGAATACGCACATTCTGTAAGAAACTAACTAGAATGTAAAGCGAACCTTTGTTTTTTCTTTATTTGGTAAGATAGGTGAATGATGGCATGTAGCTTTTCTTTGCTCTCATTTTGAGAGGCAATTCGTGTACAACAAAATAAAAAAGGAACAGACTGGAATTACTCCAGAACTTGCTAATGCCATAAAAATGGTAGTTCTGATTACTACTTATTTTGGAAAAACACTACTTAGATCCCTATGGTAGATATAAATGAACCCGACGTCAATTTTAGAAACTGACGTTAAATTCTGCCATGTCATTTTATGTAACCCTAAGCCTGATTAATTGGGTCGATTGTACTTAGATAGCCTGTTGCGCATGTCTCTCATTGCGCTGCTTTTACAGTGAGAAGGAAATTTGATCAAGTGATATCTAGCATTTTTGTTTCACTTAAATCTATGTCAAATAATTGTTCCCACAACATCAGGATAGTTTCACATTTTGATATAGGATGATGCAATCATCACAGAAACATCAATAAAAAGGAAATGAGCATGAGATGGAGAGTAGCGATGGTGACTACAAACTATTTCCTGAGCTCCTTGATGTTACATGCAACTCACATATAGTTAAACCAAGAGCACAATGTATCCACCTAGTTGGACCATGGCCAAGATAATAAGCCTCACCTGAATAAAGTCATTCCTCGAACAATCCATGCAGCTAACCCCTCCAAAATCCAATACTACGAAGGCATGCACTGACATAATGCATCCACAATGGAGCAGCTGAGAAAGGAATCCAGGATAAAGGTAAATAGGGAATTTCTATGAAAAAACAAGTCAAACATCATTGTCAGCACTACTACACTTCCATATCTATCATCAATATTCGCACTACACGTTGCTAACAACAAAAGGCACAAAATTGGTAACATCTCATGGCGTACCTTCTGACAAGTATTGCAATTTCTCCAACCATCAGCATTAGAGTGATATGTTTCGCAGAATGTACCGTCCTCATAAGCAGACCTAAGAGATAGTGTCAAGTCACTTGTAATGAGAACAAAGGCTAAAATTGTGTAGCCTGATAACTATTGATCATTCACAGTATCTTGTAATGCAGTGATATACGTTTGGCAAGATGCATAAAAGAAATTTAACCTACTAACTCCCAGTCCATACCGTGAGAATATTTAGATGGATACTAGAAAAATTAACATTCTCGAGCAAATTATTGTTGTAAAGCAAGAAACACAAGCCAGGATACCTGTTATTTTGATGTTGCTCTGCCTAATTAGATAAGACAGCCATTACCATTCCAATGAGGAAAAAACACCCACATCAGCTGCTTATGTTACAAGTAAATATATGGAGTGAAGGATAAAAGATTGAATTAAGACCACACCCCCCGAATAAAGAGTAGTATTTGTCACCTCAATTACTACAGACACATCAGAACTTCTCCTAGACTTGTGGACTTCAATAGCCAGTCTACTTGCATCTTTGTTCAAGTTAATTTTTTCGCAATTTCAATCATACTTCTAAACTTGTGGTCCTTTCAGACCAGTATGATCTGCGGAAGTCAAGATATCATATAGGTGACCTGAATTTTCTGTTTCAAGCAGGATAAATTGCAACTTCTGCCATCACTAGAGGAAGCATCTCAATTGAAGAACTCCAAAAATAGTTTTAGTGAATCAAGCTTAAGTCTATATGATATGGGTGCCAAACTCTAAACTTGCGTGCAGGATAAGAAACTAAACAATTTGTCACAAGAACAGTCACGTTGGTAAATATCATCAAGCTGATGAAATAGGAAAGCAAAAGCGTACATTGTCATGAATCTCATTCTAGCACAAATCCGTAGAAGAATTACCATTTTCTGTGTAAAAAATCTCGAAACAGCTGTGTCACAAAAGGACGTCTACACAAATCAGTGTGAGATCACATGGACATTAATTTTCTTCTCTTCCTTGTTTAAAGAGAATGTGCTGTACATGGAATCTGATATTCTAAAGAATCTTTCAAGAAAAGATAAAAATAACTCTTCCATCATAGCATATTTCCCCTGCTTGCCTATCTCCTCCATTGAAATTGAAGGAGAAAAAAGGGCTACTTGTGTCCAAATGATTTGCATGGTAGTATGGAGATGAGGAATAACTAGTTACTCCCGAGGTAAGAAGTATTTAGATGTACCTCAAATGTGTATACAATAGCGTCATCAATAAACAGATTGATGAAAATTTTCCAGGGATGACTAATGACCACAAATAGGTGAATGTCCTCTATTTATTTTATTGTACGTAAACGTAGCCCATCTTGAACTCAAGCTTCATAAAAAAAGCCTACAATTTGCGTTCACTGCAGGGTCCGTTCTGAGATTCATTGTATTGCCATTTGCATTCTGCAATCAACCCCACAAATGGGAGTTAAAAACAAGGAGTACTAGAAGTAGAGTTGCACGGCACACCTACGATTCTTCAGGCTTAACTAACCACTCATCTTAATTCTTACCTTAGAAGCATATTAATTGGCAATGCCTTGTTTAGTCATTCAATTAGTTTACAAAGACTATAACCCACGGCATAGTGCCTGGTGGCAATCTTTCTCCTAGAAACAAGCACTTTGAGAAGATTGTAGGCCTCGCAGTTCCACGTCAACATTGATTAAACAAACAGATGGTTCAGAAAAGCTTTTCAAGAACATTTACGTCGCAACCTAGATATGATCAATCCAATCATATTTCTCCTCACCTTTGCATTAACATTCTATGACTAATCCTATTCTAAGAAGCATAAGACAGGGAGGTAGGAGTGCATACTATTCTTCGTTTAACACACGAGAAGTTGTCTACCAAAGGAGCACAGTACTCTCCCTCTTATTATACCATACACATAGAAACCTGGTACTGTTACCAATTTATCTATTACTTGTATGGTCTTTTTTAAAGAAGAGATAAGGGCTATTATTTCCTTATACATTTTATTAGTGAAATTGTACTGCTCTGCAGACAATAAGATCTTTCTTGCATGACCTGGAGAGAAGACAATCAATAAAAGGTCAAATTGGCACGCAAAATGGGAACTTGCATAATCAAGACATAAATCAGCAGTAAATAAGATATTTACTATACATACTGTAGTTATATATACATTGTGCATTAAACATGTCACAGCACTTGTAAATTGTTTAAGGAACTAAGCTCTGGATGGGCGGCAGCATAAGCAGAAAGAACGAAGTATTCTTGCTGTGCTTGAATGGCATCTCTTCTGGAAATGCTCCTCCTTATTTCAGCTCCATAACATTTTTAAAAAAATGATCCTTGAAAAGCAATATACTTATGGAAAAAAGCAAGTTATCGGTTTTCAAAACAATGTAATTTGTTAAAACTGGAAAATCTTTACGGATGAGATGTACAGCAGGCCTTGATTGGCAGATAGCCCACCTCGCTATGTCACACTACAGAGCAAGATGCCAATGGGTACAAGTAAAACCAACTTCCAGCAACAAAACCCAGACAGTTTCATTTTAGTAAAACAATACACCCATGCAAGCATGACACTGGAAAAACAGCCCCTGCTTCTTGCCAACTATTCTGCGGAATATAAGTATGGTCCTTTCAGGATGATTTCTAACAATGAATCACGCTGAAAAATCCACTGAAAAATAACGGGCAGGGCCAATTTTTGGCAGCTTTTCTGAGCAATAAACATTATTTTGATGCCAGACAAGTATTTTAGAGAAAATTAAGAGAAAAATATATAATTTGAATAGCAACATACAATCTGAGAAACACAGCCAATGACTATCTTATTTGAGGCTCAATGAATTATGTTTATCATTTAAACTTGTGCAAAATTCTGACTATATCATTGATTGCTATACTGTTTCCTATTTCAATTAACAAAGCCAAAATGCTCCTACTAAGCGGTTGATGTGACAATTATCTCTGATGAATTTAGATTCAATCTACTGGCAAATATTTAATACCCTACCACTTAAATAATGGGAGCATCTTAATACAGATGAGGAAAACAATCTCTCTAAAATTTGTGGATATCATTTGTATTATTATACTATATTTCTTGACCTCGGTGGCTCTCGCTTGTCGAACAATTGTTCAGGTTCTGTTTCTCCCACTTGATGCCCAACCGCTCCTGAAATGCCACCCCGCCATACTTGCTAGATCGAATTTCGCTACAGAAAAAGGGCCTTATTCGTGTCAACAATCTTCCGTTAACGGTCGATATCATCTTAACTTAGTTCGCTTATAATGAGTCCCAATAAATAATGGGAATCTTCAGCTCCATCTTTTTCAGGACTTACAACTCCAGCACTTATCGGTAGCTGAATTACATATCTGCAGATGGTACAGAATCCAACAATTCACGTCGAACGGGGGGATCGTTAACCCAATGTTGGAAATCACACTCCAAGCACTACTAATAAATGCGCTCGAATCCATACAAGAAGATGTTTGGCTCCGCTTGATTCGAATGCATAAATCCTATCTAACTCCCAAAAAAAATTCGGACCCACACTGGACTAACAAGATAAAAAAAAGCAATAACCTCACATGCTCCCCGAGGAGCTGCGATAAGCTACCTAATACAAGTGCCGACTACAAGTATCAAGAGACGCGGTCATCATTCCAGAAGCTTGTGAAGCAAGCAACAACACAGGCATCAATCCATCATCAACACACACCCAAATCGCTTACAACCAGCCGATTCATCCAAGCCTTCTTCAATCACCACAAACACGCGGTCGACAAACAAGAATGCGCGCACGCGCAACAAAGAGGCATTCCGGAAACGAGACGGGGATCGGCGAAAACGAAAATCACGCGCATTCGGAGGAGAGAATGGGCGACTGAATCAACGGAATGATCTTACGCGCATTCGCCGCAGAGCTGCGCGTAGCCGCCGTTGCTGAGCCGCCAGCCCGGCCTGAGCCGAGCGGGCCCGCGCTTGCAGTGGAAGCAGGCTCCCTCCTCCTCCTCCTCCTCGCCGGAGGAACAAACCGGATGGTACGCCATCGACGTCGAAGCTCGAAGGGGAATCGCGCCGATGCGCAGATGCGATCTTCTTGCAGTTCGATCAAACGGAGAGTGCAATCGCCATTTGCGCGGCAGAGGAAGACGACGAAATGGTGAAGCTTTTGTCTGTTCGCTAATCATGAGCGGCTGCGTCAGAGCCTGTTAACGGACAACGAAGAAGATACGGAGAGGAAGGAACGTCCCGTGCGGTAGCTCCCACGGTGCGCTTCGGTCGCGAGGCGCTCGTGAGCCGCTCGATGAGAAGGGAAGGGTGGTCTGGACCCCGTCCCCAGCCGTGAGATTGATCGGAGGGCCGATGGTTCTCCGAGCTCATGAAGGGAGCGTCGCGTTCTATCGGCATCGCGAATTTTCCGAAAATGAAAATCAGGGTAGCGTGACGTGGTGCGTGAGTGACCGTGCGGGGGCTGGGAAAATTATTAGGCGTAACCCAATCAGGTAAGCTCGGTACATGTCATCCATTAGATCTTGTGAACCCCACACGTCGTCTTTTGGGCCAATTGAACCGGTCCACGTTCGCCCGACACCAATTATTGCCACGTCAGCACTTCGACCTGTCCTTTTATGATCAGGCAACGAACCGGTAAGGCTTGCAGTTCACAAGTCAACCGGTTCAATCGGACCGATAAGGCTTGCAGTTCACAAGTCAACCGGTTCAATCGGTTGGACCTAAATCGATTGATCTGTCCGGCGATCTAGCTATACATTTTTATCACGAGTTATTTGACTTATTCGTTTGTATTAGCAAATGGACACATATTTAGATATAGCTCAACTGGTGGAGGCATTTTGTCATTTAAGGGTAAGTTGAATGGTTTTTAAAGAATAAGCGCAAACATTTGTAAGCACTAGCAAGACAAGAACCGATGGTGGCAAAAGCTTCGAGTTCTTTTCAAGTGAATAAAGATTCGAACCTTTATTGATGCAAATCAACAACCTTCTTACAAGGTCAATGAACCAGCCAATACTGTCGCCCAGGTCAACGCCGAACCGGACCATGCTCTGGCTCACAGTCGAGCCGGCTGAGTCTGGTCCGGTCCGGATCTTGCAACACAAGCGAGCAACGATAGAGAGTCAACTTGCGGATTTTACATTATAGAAAGCGAAGAACGGCAAATCTGTGTCTGTTAAAATAAAAACCAGATAGACTTTCATTAGGCTTGTCGTTCAGAAATCTGGAACTTATTTCCATTTTCTTCAATCACTGTGAATGAGTATGATAAATGCTAAATAGATGTCGCAGTGATTGATGTTCGGCCTAAGAACGAAACAGAGGAAGTGTCCAAGAGCATGCTTTTGTTAATTGATCTCAAATGATGCTACAGAACAAGAAAGGGTCAATCCCAGTATCCCATCTCCAGGTTTAAATCTCTAGGATATAGTTTCTTTCATTTGACAAAAGAAATATTTGCAGAACATACATAGTCCGACACATGATACAATCAAACTCTCTGAAGCCCTATATAGACCACGAACATTTCAGTACAAAAGGTGTTGCCAAATAAAGATGAAGGTGCCGATAATTACAACTTCCAACTTATCTGGACAAAAGAGTAATTTATATGTAAAATGCACATGCTAGAACTAAGAAAGTGAAACTCCTATGATGATTCTACTCCCTCCTCATCAAAAAAAGAGTGCGGACCAAAGATTGTGCTACGTTAGTCATAGAGCGTTTTTGCAGATTGGGTTCTCACGGTTTTGCTATCATTCTTCGAAGCTTTCTCCACAGTCTGCTCATTCTTTGATACGGCCTTTGCCATCGCCTTCATCTTCCTGACATTCTTCGTTCTTTTCATTGGTCTTCCCTTCCTGATATTTCTGTTCCAAAAGGTTCAACATAGAAGGACGTTCAGATGACATGAAAACCTCAAAAACCAGAATCACATGTAGATAGGAAATGAACAGACTCCAAAAGAGAGATTCAGCACAGACACGAGGAGAAGCAACCATCTATGAAGTACCGATACAGCAACCGGATATAGTTGATTTAGAAGTGGATTTTTTTTTAATTGGAAATTCCTAATAAGAATAATACTGATTAGAATCAGGGACCAAGTTTCATCTCAATTGGGGAATACTAATTACTTTCCGTAAAACCACCAATTACTCAATATATGTTCCTCATGCAAGTGAAAACGAAGATGCGTTGTACCCATAACCTGGGAATTAAAAACCAATACAAATTGATTAGAGAACAGAAGATGTGTCATTTGATGTAGAAGTGTCCTACAGAAGGTGGAAAGAGCTTCGCCTCAGGGCCACTGATCACAAGTAAATGGGTCGAGAATGGAGTTCAAGAACCTGAACATCAATCACTCTGCAAGTGAAACGATTCCATTTACACTTCTCGGACAGCAGCAGAGAGACCGATAAAGAAGGGAGAGCAATATAACTATCATCGGAGGTTTCTTTCAAAGGAGCCTCCGCGCAAGTGGGCCACAATTAACTTCATTCCAAATTCACCTCCATCAGCTGACTTCAACGGAGCAGCCATAACACATCCGTGGAGTTAACTCAACTCCAACCAAATATGAAAGAGTTGCGTCGGAACGAAAGTCGGGGAACTATACCTAAACCAATTTTTCTTCACAGACAATTCAATTGTCTATGCACAGATACTATTGGGTGTTTCATATTCATTCCTAGGTTTCACCGTACATCGATTCACGCATGGATTGTCAGCTCGTAAGTGCTAGACAATTAGTAAGGATAAAATCACCGACCTATTCGCAGCGCCTGCAGCTGAACTTTTAGCTCCAGACTCTGAAGTGTCCATTGCTGCATCCAAATAGATCACAGAACACGCTCAATTTCACCGCTGTCTTGAAACAGAGACGTTTGATTTTACTCTTCTGTTACGATTTGCCTCGAAGACGAAGAGGGAACGAAGCTTCAAATCATCAGGAAACGAGGAATAAAGAGGGGGACGAGGACGAGATTACCTTGGGGGCCGTCGAAGACGGTTTGCTCGGCGACGTCCATTGCGGCGGCGGCGTTCCGCTTCTTCTTGTTCCTGTTCTTCGCCATGGCTGAGGCGAACGAGGGAGAGAGAGAGAGGTTGAAGATGATGGAGCACAGAACACAAAAACCCTAGCAGTAGCAGAAGAACAATATCGACGCCTTCTTCGACCCTCGCGCTTTTGGCGGGTACGGACGCAGGTCGATATTGGGCCTGGGCTTTTGGGAAATTAACTTGGGCTTTATAAATTGGCCCGGCCCGACCCAATTATAATTACATTCCTTTCTTCCTTTCGGTTTTTTTTTTAAAAAATTTTCGAATAAGTCATCATTTACTAATTAATTTTCCTATGAATATATGGACCATAGGGACTATAGTATAAGTCCTTCGATCATGAACATTTTACACTAACGGAGTCTAGCAGTGTCTGTGTAAATAATTACTACGGAAATAATTACTACCAACCGAAGTATAAATGCGTTTTAATTAAGTGTTAACCGATTCCATAAATAAATTTCTGTCGATAATCACCGTCGGCTATACTTTTAGTAATAGTAATGAATTGCATCATGTTTAGAAAAAATGTAAATTTTCACTAGTATTTTCGTGGAAAACTATATATTGAAGAACATTTGGGGTTTTCCATGTGCATATGTAATGGTTGGCCAATTTGAACGGAGGTGATCGACGGGGTGACGATTTTTTTTTTTTTTTGGGTCGAAGACGGGGTGACGATTAGCGTGGCGGCAATTCACATGGGTTTTGTTAGAGAAAGTCTTTAGGGGCTTGATAAGAAGTATCGGATATGCGTTTGAAATTTGTGTGTTTTATCTATGACATGCTAGAAAGAGGACATATTTCCAATCTTCAGTATTGTTTAATGATGTACATTAAAGAGCATTTCTTCCTATCTTCAGGCTATTCAGGCACTCGATAACAATACCCATTCGCATGTTTTCAATGGCCATGGCATTAGACAATCGGGAAACCGAACATCAAATGATGCCAACAACAATACTAAAATGATTAACTTAATTAGTTGTTTCACATACCTGATACGGCAAATTTAACTCATAACCCAAAAGAGACTTTAAAGTTTAAACATATGCTCCTCTATCATTCTATTGAAACATTGATTTGTTCATGATGTCACATTGATAAAACTAAAGTCACATAATCTTATTCTTGATGACAAAATGGAGAATTGACTCTAGGACAATTCGTAATTATAACTTTAGCATTTTGAAATCGACCTAGCATCATCCTCATAGTAAAAGTTATGAGCTGTCCCTGCCACGGATCACCAAGGAAGATCATCAAAATCACAAAACTACAATGGACCCACAACATGGAACAATAGTGCACATAAATTAAAGCTCTTGATTATGAACTATCACAAATTTACACATCCTCTCGAATCACACGCACTATGATCAATTTAGACCCATCAATTTATGACCCGGGCACAAACTTGGTGGCATAGACCCAAGCATTGTTGGCCACCGGGTTTTCTAGGTGGTCCAACAGGTTCTCGAGCGGGCCCTTCCCGGTCACGATGGCCTGAACAAAGAACCCGAACATCGAGAACATGGCCAACCTCCCGTTCTTGATCTCCTTCACCTTGAGCTCGGCGAACGTGACCGGGTCGTCGGCGAGGCCCAGCGGGTCGAAGTACTGGCCGCCGGGGTAGAGGTCGTTGCCCTCTCCGACGCCAGGGAGCCCGTTGATTCTGAAGCCCTCGACGAGGCCCATCAGGACGACTTGGAAGCCGAGGACGGCGAGGATGCTCTGGGCGTGGACGAGGTTCGGGTTGCCCAGGTAGTCGAGGCCTCCCTCGGAGAAGATCTGGGCCCCGGCCTTGAACCAGACCGGCTCCTTGAAGTCTACCCGGACCCATTTCTGTAGGACCTCGGGGGTGATGCAGCCCAGGGCTCCAAGCATAGCCCAACGCCCATGGATGACCTGATTTTTTTTTTGTTCAACATCAACCAGACCATTGTCTCAGGTGGGACTAATCTCTTCCTTAATGGAAACTTAAAACCTTCTCGTGCAAAAACTGAAGGAGCGCCAATGTATGTTTAGCATATTTCTTATGCATATTTCTAAACAAGAACCCTAGATCTCACACAAATCAGCATGAACTGAAAGCAAAACTGTGACTGCATTAACGTGATATCAGTTTCCCTAGTGGGTTGTGAAAAGCAGGAGACCGTTCTTCTCTCCCTCTCTTTCGAGAATATAAAAAGGGTTTAATGATTTGGTTTTTTACCTCAAGAGCCCTGTTGCGGGCAAAAGCCTCGGGATCAGCGGACAAACCAGCGGTGTCCCAGCCATAATCACCAGGGAATTCACCGGTGAGGTAGGAAGGAGTCTGAGCAGAGAACGGTCCCAAGTACTTCACTCTGTCCGGCCCGTACCACAGCTCGTTTCCCTAATCATAAAACGAGAGGCAAGAACCAGCAACAACGGTGGCAAAATGCAACATCAGCCAATGACCCACCAAACAAGAACCAAAAAAAACAGATTCATGGGCAAGCGAGCCTCAGCGACAAGAGACACTAGTAGTATTAGTACCATGGTGTACTTGCCGGTGGCCATGGAGACAACGTCTCTGAGAGCATTAGAGGATGATCTTGATTGGCCGAGGAATGGGGAGGGTCTGAGGACAGTGGTGGCTGCTGCTGTTCCCATGGAAGCCATGTCTGAAGAAGAAGAAGACCCTCTAGCTTAACTTGTGCCTCCAAGGAGAGCTCTTGAGATCTGAAGCTTCTTCGAGTGCTTGTCAGGCTCATCGAGTGTCTGGTAGAAGAAGGATTATATGTGCGCGCACGAACAATGAGACACGGACCCAAAACTGGTGGCCAGAATTTGAGGGACTTGGTGAGCTTGTGTTGCGGTGGGGATGGAGAGGTGTGAATCGGCCAATAGGAATGCTCCGATAGATTGAAGTATCTCCTCGTCATATCCTTCTATCCACATATTATCTTGTCTGTCGATAGGATATTTCTTTTACTGGAAATAGTGGATGGCGTTTTCTATGGCAAATAACAATGACACAAATGATTCTTAAACGTTAGTTCAATATGCAATGTGATCCCTAAACTTTTAATTTATTTAATGTGGTCCCTGAACTTTAACATAAGGTGCAATGTGATCCATGAACTTTTAATTTGTTCAATATGATCTCTGGACTTTTGGTACATGTTCAGTTTAGTTCTTAAACTATATGAAAGTACTTAATGTTGTCATTCCATTACTTTAATTATTTGATTTATTTGATGGTTGAATGTGTGGTACTTATTTAGTTATTTGATGATAATTTGTCGCGTTTTAATAAATTAATTTTGTGAGGTGTATTATGTGTTCCTAAAATTATTTGCCTATGACTATGGAGTTTCATACAGCGTTGACCAATACTTATTTTTCGTTAAGAAGTGTTCACAATACTAATGAAGCTGCAAGGCATGAAGATTGAAGAGGTGAACGACAGACATATTTTCCACACTTATTTTCGTATCATATTTGGATGAAGTTATTATAGCTTTAGTAGCGAACTCAAGTGCCAAAGGAATAGGACATCACGGATTTGTCAATTGTTCTCCATAATTGGGCTTAGGATCTAGGCTTTGACGTACCCTCCTAAGTCAAAATGCAGAAATTGGTCTTTGAGTTGAGCCCTAACCTCTTTCATTTCCTCATTTAAACAAGATTGAGCTCTCAGCCATTTTTCGGCCATTTTTTACATTTAGAATGTTAAATTAATAAATTATGTGTATTCTCAATTATAACGCACATAGAAATGCTTGAAGGCAAATGGATGCCAATTTCACATATAGGGCAGACGACCGAGAACTCGAAAAGTCTTGAGCGGAAGGAAGGTCTTTAGGAAACTAAACCATTTCGATGCCGAAGCCCCCGTTAAGACTTGCGAGATGATTACTCAACATCTCAGCATATGCCGATACGAGTATTAGCAATTCGCGTTAACCATACTAATGACAACTAGATTTCTCAATGCACCCATGATGAAGGAAAGAGCCTAGCCCAAGCAACGAGCCCAATAGATACCATTGCGAGATGAACCTCCCGCATAAGCCATGTACGCACTCAAATTTACATAATCTATCATTGCCAACAGCATACAGTACTCAAGAAACTCATAAATGGGGTTTCCTCACTATAGCCTTAAGAGATAATCCTGTGAAAACAGGAGCAACTCCGGCATCCCCTTAACCGTAGCAAGAGCACGGAAAATTGAGCACGTTGACTTCCTATTCCTCAATCAAGAAGCATATAGGCCAAAGTTCAATTATGCACTGCTTCTGACTATGGTATGGACGCAATGTGCGAAAGGCACTGGTGACAAGGCATGGAACCATAGTATCTCATCTTCTCAATGCACCATAGTTTCTCGTTACCTAGGAACCAAGAACAGAGCATTCAGTTCCAACAGTAAAATATCGACATTGCAAACAGGCTCTGCATCTTATCCACCTTAATAAGGTCCATTCAGATGAAGAGACAAACATGGACTTTCAACTGTAGTTTCAGATGCATCATATAGGGAGACAATGGAGCTTAATGAGTGAAACAATTTCAGCTGTAGTAATATCTATTTATGAAAAGAGAAAACTGTAGTTATAGATGCATCACATGAATCACGTTCTTCAGTCATTCATGTATCTCCATATAGTGAGAGATTGCAAAGGACGCGCCATTATAATATGAAATCACTAGGCATGCTACTGACAGCCTCATGGGCATTCTCATTATGGTACAGAAACCATATCAAGCTTATTTTGAATAATCAATTACTTCCTACAACTGCCGGAATCCTTCAGCGCTAGGCGTACACAATGCAGACCACACACAGATGTGACGAGTCTAGGAGATACAAGGTACAAGTTTCATCGTGTTTTTTTGAATAAAAAGACAGACAGGGCTATAAAGAATGATGTACTTCAGCTAATTAACTAGCATGAGTCTTTTATAAGTCAGCAATGAAAGTGTAAATTAATTACAGCAAAAAATTGAGCAGGCATTTTGCACTATTTCGTAGATCAGCAATTATGAGTCTGGTTATAAAGCCTCATGAGCAAACAAAAGAGCTATAGACTTGAACACTGAGGACATTCATCCTTTAAAAGCAGAGGATAGACTTCATAACATGTTGAGATATAGACAGTTTTATTTATTTATGGAAAGAGAATAAATCACTCTCAATACCATGAGAACTACTTACCCTGGTTTGCGATTTATTTGGTCTCTTTCCCACATCATCTTCATCATCGTCGTCATTATTGCTCGAGAGCATTCTGCGAATTGAAGAATTGTCAGTTTTTCTGCCACGCTTGGAAGATGCTCCTGTACCTCTACCCCTTCCCCGCGGGGCAGCTCTTTTGCGTCCTTTCCCTTGCAGATTCTCATCACTTCCCTATGGAAACAACAATTATGAGGAAATTCACAGCTAGCATGAGGGAATGCTAATTGGCCAAAAAAAGACCCTGCAACTTTGCAACCAGACTTCGACCCCCAAAAAAAAAAAAAAAACTTTGCAACCAGGCACGGTCAGACCAACAAAAGAATATTCTAATTTGATGACTCAAAATGCCCATTACAGTCTTATGTTTTTAAGATCGGTTGATATGCAATGGCACGAGTTGGACCAAGACAAAATTGTCATTCAAACGGACATTAATTTCAAATCGGTAACTTGCAAAGATCAAATATACAGAAACTCAACGAGGTAAAGCGAACATAAAGCTCATTTTCATGGTTGCCTGTTTGTGGGGAAGCACATGCTGACCCAATGGAAGAATCTCTTAATAGGGAGAAAAGGCATTTTTTCTTACTGAGCTTTCCTCAGGATCCTTGCTCACATATCTTCCTGTTTCTTCACTAGAGGCAGAATTTAAATCGTCCTCGTCATCAAGAATACTTTTGGCAGTGTTTTTTGCAGCCCCTGCTGCAGAGGTGCTGTAGCAAGAGAGAACAAACATAGAGAATTATCCTGAGTACTGATATAGAGGACTGCAGATTGAATAAATAGATCACTGAGAGCTAGTATAATTCATCCACTATCTGCACAGAAGACACATATCCCCTCTATATACCACTGGCCGCAAGAAAGGCATCCCATCATGTAAAGTTAAAAAACCCATGCAAACAAGAAGTTTTGGGGGGGATGCAGGTTCAACACAGATGCTTATGGACATCAGTCGATTTCACATCCTCGTTCTTTCTAAGATTTTAAGCCATAGGAAGCCGGTTGGCAGGCACACACACAGAGCAAGCGAGCTATAACTTATATGCTATAATATTGGCACTTTTCCAGATATTAGTTTGTCCGCAGATTACTCCATGGCACTCTATCCAAGTTCTCCGAGTACAAAAGCTCTGCACATTCAATTTAATGATCTCAAGAAACGACTTTCCAGATTGCCATTTGAAAAAACCATCGTTGAATTTGATCTATGCAGACACTAAACTGATGTCCTTGTCCTAACCATCACTATCAGATGGGGTTAGTAAGACTTTGGACAGAGAGCCTACTGTATCCACAAATTAAGCTAGACATTAATGCCATTTTTTTTCCCTGAAACACTTTGATTGCACAGCCAGATCACATGAGGACACAAATAATCTTTAGCTAGGTGATTGACGATATGGAACATTGGAGTTTGACTACTTTTATCCGTAAGCTCAAGTTCACGACTACATCCGCTACTAACCTTTCACGATGGCGAGATCCCAAAGCTGAATCAAGAGTAGTCTGCTTCAAATTACCGGATCCTCTTCCCCTGCCCCTTCCTCTTTTAGAAGTTTTCCCTCGTCCAAGATCTGAAGTAGCACGGGAGGATCTCGATACTCCCAATGATCCCTTCCGGCCTCTTGTGGCAGATTTTGAGCCAAGTATCTCTGCTGTGTCCTCATCATCGCTAAAAGAAACTGCACTTCCTATTCCTGCAGCACTCCTATTTCTAGCAGCCTAGGCAGAATTTAACATGTAAACTTTAGCACAGAATCAAAGAAGGATATTCAGCTTATGATCCTTGACAGTGTTTTGAAAGCTACAGCTAGATTTACCACCACAGAAGGTGCACTGGATGTTCCATGTGGGGCGTCACTGGGATGTACAGAACGTTCCTTCACGCGTTCCTGAAAATAAAGAGTAAAGTTGATTGTTGTTAGAATAAAAGTTCCCTGTAAAGGAGAAAAGCATCAATCTTTACTTTAGGCAGCACGTGGCAGGAAGAAGATGAGTTAAAAAGAGCTTCAGCCTATCGTCTATGGGGATTTAAACCAACAAAGCAAAAATAATGCTCAAGACTATCCAAGTTCCTAGTGTCTCTCATTGAAATGCACTTCTGTAAATGCATAAGATATACAAGAAATTCCTGCTTTACTCTAATAACAGCCACAATAATTGCAGAATGTCACAGCCTGACTACAGATTGAAGCAAATGAAGGCTAAAAAGAGCCAGTAAATTGGAAGGATTCCACATATAAAATGGTTGCATGAGACTAAAATTCATCACATTATAAGGATAACAAGTTGCAATAGATAACTTCTTGCCTCCAAACACTCGCCGACTTTAAGAATTAGATCCTCCTCCTCACATTTCGAGGTATCAGAATCCCTAGCAATTTTGTTCTGCACGTGTTCATAAGCAAAACAGTATTGGCACATAAGCGTAACAGAAACATAACATTCACATAACAGCATGAGTCACTGAGAAACTGTCAGAAGACACGATAATTGGCCAAGTAAATGACAGCTTAGAGTGATACCTCTGCAGCAACAAAAGCAGAATATAATACTTACACGAGTTTCTTCAAGA